GTGTGTGTCTTAGAAGAGTCTTGGTTGGTCTTAACTCTTTCCAAAAGACGTGAATATGTTGGACCATGTCATGAATTACTGTTTGAGTAAAAAATTTATAGGTGTAGTTTTACTTGAAAGTGTATATTATCTAATAAGCTAACCATGTGATCTTTTCCCTTTTTATTTCTTTTTTTCACAACCGAGATATATTTCGACAAGCCGGAGTAATCTGCCAACCCTGTAAGAAAACGTTTTTATCTACAGTGACAAAGAAGAACACAACTATTTTCATAGATGGTAGAATTTGATCCCTGACTTTGATCCGCATGGTAAATCTTCTGTCTATTCGAAGAGACCACTAGCTAGACTACACGCTTTTAATTCATGTGATCTTCTTTAGAGAAGTTAGAGATGCATTGGAACAATCAAATTCTTTTGGAAAGTTATCACAATGACGATACAGAAAATTCTCTCATGGCTAAGATTTTCGTTTTGATAACCCAATGCATCCTAACCGAATCCTTGATTAATTTTCAAGGCCTATAGAAATTTAGATATTCTTGCTACTTAAAAGATAACTAGACTTTTGTTCATGTGATCTCTTTTTGACGTTACAAGCTTAGAGCATGTCAATTGCAAGTTTCTCTCGTTATTAGAAAACTGAAAAAAAATAATACATGAGATAAGAGTTTCCATTTGAGAAACTTTGACAAAAGTGTTTGATACATGATATAATGTGTTTTTGGCGCATTCTAACCTTTGTTTTGTAGGATTTTATCGAGTCTATCGTTCTCTTTCGAGTCATTCTAGGTATAAAAGTTGTTGGAAACAAAGATTGGAACTTGCGGACTGGACTTGGCGGAAAAGAAGGAAATGTGGATCTTTTTGAAAGGAGCACCTGCTCCAGGAAAGGGAGCACCTGCTCTCCAGAAGATCAACTTAAGAAAATATTCACTAAACCTAATTTTGCAACCCTATCTTTGGGCCAGCCGCCGTGGGCCTTTAAATAGGTTTTTCCCTGGATCTTTTCAGATCATCACGCAGCAGAGAGACAGCCGCAACACAGCAACAACGCAACAGAGATTCAC